TGTTTTTGCTCCAATTTAACCATAGGTGGGTTTAGAATCGAATTCTGAGCCAATGGGAGAATTTTTACCTCCTTTGGCGGTCAGAAGTTACTCCGGTGCGGCGGCGGGTGGCGGCGGTTGGCTCCCCAGCAGCTTGGCTGTCTTCTTCGGCGAGTAGCTCTGGTGGCTAGGGTTAGGGTTTGGGTGTAGATGAGATTATTTACAACTATTTGCTTTTAATCTAAGCCGTCCATTGCGATTCAATCTGGACCATTCATCGCGATGCAATCTGGGCTGTCCGTGCGCGATTCAATCTGGGTCGTTCGTGCGCGTGCAATCTAGGCCGTCCGTGCGTGTTTTTGACGGGGTGTAATTTTTCTAAATTGTATTTTGATCCATAATTTTCAATTTTTCTTTCAAAAATACTCACAAAACTCAAATTTTCACCACTTTTTCTCAAAATTATTTTCAATTAAATCTCTAAATAATTTTTACTCTTTATTATTATTATTATTTCCAATAAAATAAATTAAACTAAATTAAATTTAATATATTATTATATAATTAATCATTATATTTATATAATAATTACAAAATTATTATTTCCAAAAAAATAAAAATTAAATTAAAATTAAAAAAAAAAAAGAAAAGGATTGGGGTGTTACGGTTAATTTATTTTTAATTACTGGGAGTTTCATTTCATTTAATATAAAAATATAAAAAAATAGGAGAACACAATACCTTTAAATATAGTAAACCTCTCTCTTGGGTTTTTTAGATGAAAAAAAAAACTTAAATTTCTATTGATTTTATTATCTCCAAAATTAATAATTTAAAATATGTTTAAATAGACTTACATAAAATTTAAATTTTTTAAAAATAATTTGTCATAATATAAAAGATGAAATGAACTAAATCTTTTAAGAAATGAATTCTCACCAATTACATTATATTTAAAAATAAATATGAACTAAATCTGATTTTATTTATTAATTTAAATTAAAAATAAAATCTTATTAAATTCAAATTAATAAATAAAATAATAATATTTATATTAATCTTTAATCTTCTCTGTACATTAAACTAATGAAATTAGGTTTATTTTATTTTTTAATAATCTATCTATTATAAGGAGGAGGACACACTCTAAAGAGAACAATTAGAGTTAACCTCTTTCAATGGAATTAAAGAAATATACCACCTAATCTCAAGTTGATTCTAATTATTGGATGTCAATTATTATTGCCTTATTATTTGTTGACCACTAAAAGAATGATTCAAATGAATTGTTCACAAGAGTAGGGGATATATAGTTCTTCCTAATGGCAAACTATTCATGTGTAATTATTTACCTTGTCTCACAAGTTTTATAACTATGGTTTGGGAAGTTCCTTTAATCTTTACATGGTGCATAATTTCAATTCATTTATTATTTTTAATAAATAATATTAATTTTTATAAAATGAAAATATATTTGTAATTATTCCTCTACCCACTATGCTAATAATCATGTTTTTTTTTTTATATTTTGTGATTATTTGTTACCATTGAACCCAAAGTCTTGATTTTTTAATTTTTCAATAAAATATTTATTTATTATTGTTATTATTATTATTATCGTATAAATGACACATATCTAATTGCCGTTTACTATATATTAAGTTAATTGAATTGAATAATATAGTATATAATTATTTCGACAATAATATTATTTATTATTTTCTTACTTAGTTGTACGGAGTAAAATATAATAAAATTTTTATTAATATAACAATAATAAGTTTATTTATTAAGTGAAAAATAATCTTATTTCACTAAAAATAATTTGTTAAATTACATTTCATATGGAATGAGAGAATTTAATTAAATTTAATTTTAAACTATTAATAAAGAGAATACATGAGGTTTATAATAATCCCCTCTGTTCCCCCCTTACTCATACAAAAACACTCACCAACAATAGTATTTAATAATTACTCAATTCTTTTTTTCAAAATTAAAATTCATATATTTTATTAATTAAGTAATAAATCTATAATTTCTTCAAAAACAGTAGCGATTATTTAGCTAAAAAATAATTAATAATCTAATTTTCATAAAAGACTCAGTGAGCAAATTGTATAGTTTTTTAAGATAGACTGAGTTAAGAGAGTAGAGAGGAAGGCAAGAGAATAAGGCAGTTGGGTTGTGACTTATTTTGCCATAATCCAAACAGGAAATTAGTAAGAACCTTTTTGCAGCCTCAATTGCTGTTTTGTCTTTTCACTCTCTGATCTCTTCAGCAACATACACACACAGGAAAATACATTTTTTTTTCATTAAAAAAAAAGAACCAACTTTGTCTTGCATGCATTTACATGCATCACTTACTTCCATTAGCAAAATGGTCCCCTCCTCCTGCTCCTCCTCCTCATTATCCCCCTGAAACCCTAACCCTATCTAATCCTCCTACCAAGTACTTAACAAAACATCATCTCAAACATTTACTCTTCTCCCAACCACCATTTCTTTTTAGTGAGATTACTTTTGAAAATGGTAATATATAATCACAACCTAATAAGATCAAGAAATCACAACATGGGTATACAAAGCAGAGTAAAAAGATAAACTCTTGCTTTCGCTTTCACAAATCAGAACCTCTTCGATTACTAGTTACAGCCCTCTTTTCATCATCTTATCATTTATTACCCATTACTTTCTCTGCTTTGAGAACCGAGCTTCAACTCTTGTGTTTCTATCTGCTAAATGCTTCCTTAGCTTTTCTATAAACATTAAAGAAGCAAAATGATCCAACTTTTCATTACTTGGCTTTTGTTTCTTTCTCTTCCCTTCCCTCTCCTCCATTTCCCTTTCTGGCTTCACAGTCTTTTGGATCTTTCTATCAAACACTTCGTGGGTTTTATAAATGATGGTCCCATTCCATGTTTACAACTCTTCTAAACATCTTTTCGGTCTTTTCTTTTCCCTACTTGGATAAATACTCCCACTCACACTTTTTTCCAGTTTTCTTCATCAGTGAAAACGAGAAATGACTCACTTATAACTAAGGAGGAAAAGGAAAACACCAATTTTTGTTCGATTGCCTGAATGAATGTTCAGTACTTGGCTTCTGCTCAACTTCTTTCACTCTGCTCGCTAATACCTTTTCCTTTCTCTGGTTAAAGTTAACTTGTTCCAGTCTTCTTGTTTGCTTCTCTGGGTTGGAAATTTTTAAGGCTGCTGTGCTGTAATATATAGCTATGAAGATGCTTATGATGATCACCAACCACTTCTTTTTACTTCTTTGCATATCTTGTTTGGTTCTCTGGTGTGAAGGAGAGGGAGACTTTGATGTGGCTCCAATGAAGAAAGCTGAACAAGCAGCCCTGTACTCTGCCATACAAGGCTTTGTGGGAAACTGGTGGAATGGCTCAGATCTCTATCCAGATCCCTGTGGCTGGACTCCTATACAGGTTTTACTTTTTTACTTTTTAATCCTCTGGAATCTGCATAATTGCATTGCTAAGTTTCTTATTGGCTTCCTTTTCCATTTTCTTTGTCATTTAAGAATATTGACATCAATTTTCAATTCAATGAGTAAATGGGCATTCACTTTAAGTAGTAGGCTTCTGGAACTTAAAAAATCATCTCAAAAAGATACCTGAGGAAAAAACTGAATGATGTTACCAGACATCTTAATTTGCAGTTTGTGTTAGGGATGTTCACAAAATATTATTATTTTGGCATTACATGCAGTTGTTACAAAGGCGTTACCTTTTGAAGGAGCTCTAAGCATTTTTCTGATTGGTTAGTTGTTCTCATGAGCCTGCTTTTTATATTGGTGGTACTCACGTACTCTACTAGCAGTAGCCAAAGTGAAACAATTTGAAGTATTTGTTGTTGAGAGGAAGCGTGAGGTTCATCAAGCATAACTATGAGATGCATGTAAATCTTTTACACACTGACGATATGAGCTTCAATCATTTGTCACCAAGGTGATAAAATTGCTGAAAAGTTGACTAGAATACAACCATCTCTTTTGTTAATTTTAACAGTCTAAGTTGGAAAGTTTTATGTCCTTCAATAACTTTGTTACTTTGAACTGATCTGGAGTTCTACATATCAGTGTGCATGGCAGATTTTTAAGTCTTTTCTCCTTTTTGGCCTAAAATCATGATTCCGAATTGCACAAAAGTTCAGTTTGGACTTAAGAGCTGGAGAGCCATTTTTTTTTCAACGGTGTAAAATCATCTTCACTATCATGTGCAGAGCATTGTTGTTTTACCTTGGTGCACATCAGCACATGGGATGTTTAATGTCATTACTCATCGACCATTAGCGCTTAGAATCATCTAATAATTGTCATTTCACATGTTGGATTTTCATCAATGAATAGATACTAGCATCTTTAACAGTAGTTCATAATAGAGATTGTGATGTTTTCCCTCACAGGGTGTTTCTTGTGATCTCTTTGATGGCCTTTGGTATGTCACTGCCTTAAGCTTTGGACCTGTGCATGAAAACTCCCTTGTTTGTGCTGGAGATGTGGAATTTAGGTCACAATTATTTGAACTTAAGCACCTCAAGTTCCTCTCCTTCTTCAGTTGCTTCTTGTCACCACACCAACATCCAATAACCATTCCTGACAAGAAGTGGTTAAATCTTGCTGACAGCTTAGAATCACTGGAATTTCGATCAAACCCCGGTCTGATTGATCATGTTCCTACAAGCATTGGTGAGCTCGCCAAGCTACAATCTTTGGTGCTACTGGAAAATGGCTTAACAGGTCAGTTGCCGCAAAATATTGGCAACCTAACAAAGTTGAAGCGCCTAGTCTTGGCTGGAAATTCGTTCGCCGGTGAGATTCAAGATAGTTTTGGGTATTTGCCTGACCTGTTAATCGTCGATTTGAGTAGGAATTCACTATCCGGGCATTTACCTATGAGTCTTGGAGGGTTGACCTCGCTATTGAAGCTTGATCTAAGTAACAACCAGTTGCAGGGGACGATACCAACAGAAATTGGAAATCTCAAGAATTTGACTCTCTTAGATTTAAGTAACAACAAGTTTTCTGGTGGTTTGATCCAAGCTCTTCAAGAAATGTATTCCTTGACAGAGCTGGTATTATCTAACAACTCAATAGGAGGAGACTTGATGAGTGTAGAGTGGGGATATCTTCAAGATTTGGTAATTTTGGATCTCTCTAGCTTGGGCTTGACAGGTGAAATTCCTGAGTCTATGGCCAAGTTGAAGAAGTTGAGATTTTTGGGTCTTAGTAACAACTTTCTTACAGGCAATCTCTCGCCAAAATTGGTTTCTTTGCCTCTTGTTGGTAGACTCTACATAAATGGAAACAATCTGACAGGAGAGCTTCAATTGTCTCAGTGGTTTTACAGGAAAATGGGGAGGCGCTTTGGTGCCTGGAACAATCCTAACCTATGTTACCCAGTTGGAGTTATGTCAACCAACTATAAACCATATGGGGTAAAGCCATGCCAGCAGGAAGTTACTTTGAGTGAACCAAATTACACAACAAAATGGGTTGATAGAAACGTGAACCAAAGTTCCTTTTCCATTACTTCTTTGGGATTCTCAAGCCGCGTGTGTAATGGGTTTTCATGGATATTCCTGGTTGTGATATTTATGATCTTACCAGACTTGCATTATTTTCCATAGGCTTTCTTTGTAATGGCAGGTCTCGAAGAAATTAACCTTTTTAGGTGTATCTCATATCTTTCGTTTCTTAGTCGTTAACAAGAAAAGCTAATTGCATTTGCCAATTGTGAGTAATACCAATATTTCACATATAGTTTTACACTAAACTTGTCTTAAGAGCTCCTCCATGGCATACCTCTATAATCGGTGATTGCCTCTGCCAGTTACGAATAATACCAATATTTACTTGATATATCTTTAAGCTTTACTGTACGCACCACAGAATTCCCCAATGAATATCTGTTTGTTTTATGGCTTGACCAGCCACTTTCTCATCTGGGTTTGCAGTGGACAGATCAACCTTCCCCAACCAAGCTTTGAAAAGTGGGAATTTTGGCAGTTGGGGAGGAAAGAAAGGCTTAAAAAATTGATGTGGGGATTATTTACTGGAATTTACAGGCACGGCTGTTATGACTTTTTAATGCAATGAGAGTGAAGTGTGGGGAGGATGGTTAAGACTGATAGGCTGTACTTTTCAACAGGGCACAGGATCATTTGTGTTTTGTAGTTGAGACCATTAGACTGCCATAGCTATGTTAGTGTTTCAGTAAATGGGTGTCTGGATCATACGTTTAAAGATGATGAGGATTATAGGGTTGGGACCATATAAAAGAGAGAAAAAGTAAAAAAAGCCATTTTTGTCAGCTTGAGTTGGGTTTTCTCTTGGTTCTATGCTGCTATGGTTTTCTTTTATCTTGATTTCTTTTTTGGGGGGGCACTACATTAAACTTCTCTGACCTTTTCAATTGAATGTTCCTTGCTTTTCTTTTTCTTATAATAATAAGAAAAAAAAAAAACAATGGAAGAAGGATTTTGAACTTCACTGATTGGGCATCATTTCCCAATCTGAATTTTACTTTGAATTGAAAAATTTTGCAGTGATTTGTATTGGGTTTTGATCAATGGATACTTTGGTCTGCCTTGATAAATATTATATCTTGGGGGTGAACCAAATCATAAGCCAGCCAGCCCATTTACCCATTTTGATTAACTATAAGGCCTGATATGAGAAGGTGATTGATTACTTTTCTCTTTATCTCTTGGCCTAGTCCAGTTCAGTTAAAATTAGTAAACGGGTCAGTTTGGTTCAATTTCAATCTCATATTCCCTATTTAATTCTGACTTTGGATTTAAATCATATTATAAAATAATTTGAAGTGGTTCCAATATATGACTTTTATTTTATTTTATTAGGGTGATGAAATTCCAATGTTAGTGGTTAGATCATACATGTAAGGAATGTCTTGGTAGATGAGATGAGTATAAAAACGTTGCTATCGGACGGTCAAGATCTGGCATATCAAGTTGACATTTTTCACATTAGAAAATAGAATAATAACGAATGAATTATTTAGTTATCATTAAAATGCCTACCGACTACACTTGACAACTGCCTCCCATATGTTCAACGCCCTCAAATTCTTTGTTCAAATCCCTCAAACCGGACCCCCCCCACCCTTTCTATTTTACAATAAACAAATAATTAAGTAACTAAATCGTGATTTTTCTTTAATTAATTAATTAGTCAAGGTCAAAATGCAAGTTAATTATATCAAGGTTAAGATTAAGGTTAGTCAAGTTTGCAACATATGTCGTTGGTCCGGGTGCACGTTGAAATATTGCTGCACGAGGTGAGAAGACTTTTTGTTTATGTATTTATAATTAATTAATCAATTGTATTTACTATAAGTAATTATAATTATTATTGGTGTTGTGGAAATTAAATTGAAGGTGATGTAATTGGAGAGTGAGATTCTGAGCCAAATACAGATCATCTGGTGAATGTTTAAATAAGTATTACATGGACCCCATTAGGCTTCCCTTTCTTGTCTCAGCTTCATACGCAAACGATTGATTCCCTTCTCTAATTGGAATTACATTTTAATTTATTTCATATTTATCACATTTATAAATACAAAATTTATTCATGTGTATGGGAATTTTCTTGTGTTTATTATATATGGGTTTGAGAAATTGGGATCCAATTTTATTGCTTTTGAAAAATTCTAATCTCTTTGAATAGGAAAGCTGAGGAAGTGTTTAGTTTCCTAAAACAAACACGAGAAAGGAAGAGGAAAGCAAGTGCCAAGTCGTGGAAATTTTTACTTGTTATATAATTTTAATCATTTTTCAAATAAAAAAGAAAGATATATGAAGAAGGAAAGTAAAAAATCCTGCTTGAAATAAGAAAAGGAAAGTAAGAGTCATGTTTTTATTAATTTCATTATTAAAAGAAAACAGAAAAGTACGTGGCATTAGTTTCAGCAATCTGTCATATTGACACAGTCCTCATGGTGGGGGGGGAGGTGGCATTCTTTTATGACTGACTACTCATTTCTCCGTCACATTCACCAGCTTACTCTTACTAGACTCGATAGGTATGTGTGTATATATAAAATTATGTGTGTTAAGTAATGTGCAGACACAAATTCACTAATACCCATTTTACTATATTTAATTATTTGTCAATACTTGCCGTCTATAAACTCCATTTTCATGTGTGGACGATAGATTACTTATTGTCATCAAGTCTAAGACACCAAATTAATCAAAGTAATTAAATTAGTCTAATAAATGATATGGGATGAATTAACTCAGGGAGGGCTGGCCATTAATTAAAAAGCTAGCTAGGTACACGTTAATGTCTGCAAATCTGATATATTATTTGATGTGAGCCAAAAAAAGTCTAATTTCAATATACCCACAAGCAAGCAGCCACAGTTTCAAAGAAATTTCTTCCTAAATATTGACCCCAAAATACGTATTCAATTCGAATGGAAAAACAAATAATGTAAACAGGAGAAATTAAAATAATAAATTAATTTATTTTCTCATTTTTCGTACATATATATATATATATCAAGTAATTAATACTCTCTTAGCCGGCACCAAATAGAAAGAAGCTCCAAGTCGTTTAGTTTTGGTATTATTTTCAATCGTTGACATATCTTCCTACCCAAGAAATTTTTAAATTAAATAATGATTATAATAAGTTATATATATATTATATCTAATATATAAAATAATCTTTGGCGTGCGATTTACTTCTCTCTACTCTTTTTCCGCATAAACCCAATTGCCAAACTTTTTCCTTCTTGCCTCCATGAACGTACATAATATATATACTTCATCCGTTGCCTTCTCTCTCACTTAAAAGTCAGAGAAAACCTCTCCCTTTATCTCCCCGCTATACCCATCTCCCCAAAACGGCTTCATATTGAACAATGTCTCTTCCTTATTCCTTTTCTTCATCTTCTTCATCTTTTAGGCCTATGCAAAGAAAGCTTCTGTTCACTCTGTGTCTGGTTTTGCTCCTTCTTTTGGGTTCTTGTGAAGCTACAAGGCTCGGCGTAACGATGAAGGAGGAGACAAAGGTTACGACGAATGCAGAGAATCACAGAAGCTGGGACAAGACAAGCTTTGTATATAAAGAGCAATTGTTCAACTTCTTACCCAAAGGGCTTGTACCGCCCTCTGGTCCATCTAAGAGACACAACTCTCTCATTCATTCTACTCCACTACATTGAATTTTTCTTTTTATTATTTTACTACATACCTTTTGTCTTGAAATGGGTTTTGATTTTTGTCTTTTGGGTTGTTGAGATTTTATGATGAATACGGAAGAGTTGCAAAGGTTTTGTTCTTTGTGATTCTGGTGATACTTATAGTGTACATATATATATACACGATAGATTATTAGATTGCCCTATTGAGAGAGATATATGTATGAAGTTGCTAAGTTGATACCAGTTAATATTTGTAGTAAATAATCATATTGAATGGATTGAGCCTATTCCATGAATTCAAATTTTTTGCTTATACATTTTAAATTATTCGGAAGAATGGGTTAATATGATCATCTTTCTGCTTCTTTTGAATATTGGGATTTGGAACTGAGTTTAATGAACTGTAGAATAGAAGCATAGAATGGTAATGAGAGAAAGTCATAGAAGTAAATTGCCTTGGGGCAAGGCCACACTCGACTGCCCCACCATCTTTTCCGAGTCCATCTCGTGATTCAACGCGACTGATATGCATGTTCTTGGCTGCTCATGCAAATATGAGTGGGCAGATTTTATAAATATTATTGATATATATTAAAATAAATATTAAAAAGTACAAAAAGTAAAATGTAAAATATATTATTTTATTCTACGTGTGAATTCATCTGTAAATTGGGTGCAACTTATAACTCCCTCTGATTTGTTATCTCGCAGTATTTATGATTGTAAAGTTGACTAATTCATGATAATCATCATCCCCCTGGTTTCAACATTTATTTCGTTCTACTAGTTTTTTTTTTTTTCAAAAGAAGATTAAAGGAGTTAGTTTTGAGTTATGATTATTTGCTTTGTGATGTCATCATAAAAGATGATTAATGTTTAATTAGGTAAAGATGACAAATTAATTCAATCTCCAAAATGGGTTTAATTTAAACTTAAATCAAATTCAAATGTCACACGTGTTCCTCGAAATGGGTTTGCAGTAGATTTAGACCACATGGGATGATTTTTCAATTGGAGTAACATGGATGAGTTTGATTACACAAGAAATTATATTATTAAATTAATTAAGCATGGAATGAAATTCATGGGTGTAATAGTGTCTGGGAAATTGACCCACAAAATCACAAATATCAGAAATGTATGTAGAGAACAGCTGAATCAAGGCCAGGGATCTCATCTCACATATATTATAATATATTTATATACATACACCCCCATATATTTGAACCTCTCACACCCTTCAATTGTCTTTGGCAAATAAAATATTTGTACGGAGTGCCACCGTCCCATTTCTCATCTTATTTTATGGGGACAGTTAAACTACGCCCATCATCCTATGCTGCATTCTGTTTATTCATTTATTATTATTAATTTTTTATTTTCGTACACTTATTAAACTACTAGTAATATCATATAATTAGCTATATATATATGTGTGTGTGTGTGTGTGTGTGTGTGTTGACAAAGATGTTATTGACTTAGTGGCACGTACAAGTCTGCTTTTGATGGTTCAATTAGTAATTTTTTATAGTTATATATTGTGTTGTGATTTCTTTTCAATCTACTTCAATTCCTGTTCTGTCATTATTAAACAGTACTACGTAAAAATCTAAGTTTAAATAAATTTCAGATCGCATAATAATAAAATGTGATTAAAAATTTCAGAAATTAACAAGAATTAAAAGAAGAGAACAGTGATTCAGTCTACAATTAATTAATGGCTGTGTATCAATCAAAAACAGGAGGAAGAGAATATAGAGGTTGGTATATTCGGGCTGACTTTATTTGGCGCATATATATATATATATATATATATGTATGTATGTATAAATATATGTACGATACAATTCGAATGGTGGGTCAGATTGCATGCATGGAGATTAACATCGATTAGCCTCTAATTTCTTTGGAAAGGTAAACTTGTTCTGAAAAGCTTAAAAGGGCGAAAATCCCAAAGAAATGTGAATTTTGGTAGTCAAATATTATGGTGCCTTTTTTTTTTCAAAGACCATTTAAATTTTATTTTTTATAGTAAATTTATATATGTATTAATTAATTATCTAATTAACATTTATAATATAAATTAATTAGACATGACACAAAAAGTACAGTTAAACCTATAATTTTTTTTTTTAATGAAATAAGAGATTATACAACTATTTAACTAAAGATATATTGGTGGTTTAAATCATATTTTAATTATTAGATTGCTACATTTTTTTAAAAAATAAAAATAAAAAATGCATGCCCTTATTTTAAAAATTATTAGATGATTCCATGACCTCTTTGCCATTTGAAGGGTGTTTAACTTAGTTTTTGTGTTGGATAAAAACAACTTATAAGTTTGTAAAATTTTCATATTACTGAGAACACAAAAATTCCTTCCTAATTTTTCCTTAAATATGTTATTTTTTATGATAAAAATCTAAATTACTCGTTAATATATTTAAAAATTTTGGTCTAAATATGTAACACCCCACACTCGATATGAAACATAATTTTTACTCATATAATTTTCATACAATAGACCTACAAAATATACATATGCATAGTTCAAAATTTATCATATAACCTAACATCCCATATGATATATATATAATAATTATATATACAGAACAAGAGATTAAAATTTAAAGTTTAACAAAACAAAACGAAATTTTTTAGAATATAAACAAAATGTACATAAACAATAATCTTTTTACAGGTTCTACTCGTCTGGCAATGGTTCATACTCTTTTTTCTCATCTAAAAAATATCAGAGTAAAATTTAATAAATTTCACCATT